ACACACACACACACACACACACACACACACACACACACACACACACAGAGGCAGATGTCACACAAGGGCCCTTCAAAGACTAAAGGTTTTTTTTTACTTGTGGGGAATTAAAACTCCCCTTTTCCTCAATGGGAAATCATATTCAGACAAAGAAAATTATTAAAAATATCCTTTCCTTTCTGAAGCCTGGCTCTTTCTCTCCACCTATATTGGGAGGGGGGGGGAATAGGGGAAATGCAAGCGGCGGGCCAGCCTGCCCCCTTCTTGTCTCCCACCCACCTCCTTCCCAATGGGACAAGAAGGCGAAGGACTGGTCTTGCAAACGGGGATCAGCGCACTTGCCACCTCACCCTCCCCCGGGAGGAGTTCTGCAGCAGGACAGATGAATGGAGGGGGAGATCGTCCCTTCCTCCTCCGCGCCCCCAAACCCCATCTTCCCTGGCCTGCACCCCTGCACCCAGGCTCCTTTGGGTTTGGGGGTAATCCGAATGGGGGGAGCGGAAGATCCCTGGGGCGGAGGCCTCACGGTACAACGGTCTTCCGCAGCTCCGGTGCGAACCTTCGCCTTCCCCACCCAGGATTGCAAGGCTGGAGGCCTCGGCAGAAGCCATCCCCAGCCGGCCAACCCTCGCCCGTACCGTGAGCGGCGGGACCTGCACAGTTCCTCTCCTCCCCGGCGCCATCCTGTGGGCGTGCGAGCGCTGGGTAAGAGCGCTGAATGGCCAGCCGGCCCGGAAGGCTTTAGAATGCCAGCGGGGCTCAGCCGCCATTCAGCGACACATGTTTCACTGAATGGCGGTCGAGCCCTGCCTGCCGGCACGCTAAACTGGCGGCATGCCTTTAACATGTTTCGCTGAATGGCGGCCGAGTTCTAAACTGCCGGCATGCCTTTAAATGCCGGCTTGCCTTCCGCGCGGGCCGGCGCAGAAGGCAAGCCGGCAACTTCAAAGTCATGCCGGCACTTTAGCGTGCCCCTCAGCCGCCATTCAGCGAGTTCTAAACTGCCGGCATGCCTTTGCGCCGGCCGGCCATTCAGCGAAACATGTCCTGGTTTGTGGCCGGGTGGCACGCTTGCAGTTTAAAGTGTATGCCGCCCGGCCACAAACCAGGACATGTTTCGTTCTATGGCGCACCGAGGCAGCATGGCTTTAAAAAATAAAAAAAAATGAAAAATAATAAACATAAACACACAATTGATATTTAATTAATTTTATTTAAATCCAATTTGGATGACTTCTAAATTGTATAGACGACTTCTTAAGAAGAAGAGAGACATTCCTTCTTTCTCTTCAGAGATCTGTCAAGGCAGAAGTTGGACTCGGAGGAAACTGCATCCTGCAAATTTTTTTCTCCGCGCTTCCGCATGCAGCAATGTCTTCCATTGCCTCCTGCTTTGCCGAGAGGAGGAACCAGGGAAGGAAATGCCAATGATGTCTGGGATTGGGAAAAGAACATCTCCATTGACCTGCTGTGCACATGCACACACACATACACAAACAAACTCACACTCACAAACACACACACACCGTTCCAAGCGTGGAGTCTTTTATCCACATCTGAACTTGGAAACTGCCAATCATGCCTAGGCTTGGGGNAATAAGAAATAACATACATTTATTTATTTAGTGATTTCCTGCCAAAAGCAATAATTGTGAAAAAAAATGGACCAAATGTCAAATAGGTTGACCAAATGAGTGGAAAATCTCACAAAAGAGATTCATGGCTGAGTAAGTGGATTTACATGTGTTTTCTGGGATTCAAATCCACCATGCAAATCACTGCTCAGTCCACAATCTCTATTAATCTGGGGATCATAGAATGGAGGTTGTCACAACAGCTAGAATATGGGTCTCCTTATCCTGACTGGATTTTGTTTAAAATCAAGTAACAGGTTCCAATTTAGCAGGATGGTCCCATCCTACTTATAAGACTGGACAAGTTAGTTTCTATTGTTTCCACCTGTTTTTGTTCCAGGAACACCAGTGCCATTAAACTACCAAAAGGATGCCATAAAATATCTATCTCTTACATGTCCACTTGACTGGTTTGCACATCAAGGATACTGCTACAAAGTGTCAGAAGAGGAAAAAAACTGGCTTGAAAGCCAGAAGTCCTGTAATTTGCAGAATTCTTCCCTGGCCAAAATTACAGAGGAGGAAATGGTGAGTACAGGTAATCCTCGGGTTACGAGCATTCCCTTAACGAACGTTCAAAGTTACATGATAAACGCCCCCTGGTGTTTGCAAACAATTCCCAAAACTACGAATCTTACAGCACCATGGCAATTCACCCTTAGGAACAAACGCAGAGGCTGTACATCATTTGTCCTGCACGTTGCTGGCTGAAATGGAGCTTCTGATGGGCAAATCTGCCTCTCAAAAGCCCCATTCGGGCATCCAGAGCCCTTGCCTGGCACATTGCTGGCCGAAATGGAGGGCCAAACAGAGGGTGGAGGGCTGTATCTGTCCTCCAGAAACTCCATTTCAGTCTGCAACAGACTGGGGGAGGCCCACAGAGGGCCAAATGGAGTGTCGGAGACCTGCATCCACTCCCCGGAAGCTCCATTTTGGCCTGCAACAGGCCGGGGGAAGCTGCAAAGGCCTGAACAGAACAGGGCACACGCGACTGGAGAGGAGACTGCTTGCTAGATCCTCGCAAGGTAGGTGACCCAGCATGGCAGGTTGGGCAGGGAGAAGCAATTGTGGGGAGCATGAGGTATTTCAGTGGGTAGGGAAGACCTTGGGTGGTCTTAGGCAGGTGGTCTGTTCCATCTGTAGGCCCCCTCATGTGCTTCCCCACCCTGAAATACCTCATGTGCACTTATTGAGCCTCACATTTGATTAGTGAATATGTGTGCAAAAGGAGGGAGTGATCCTGTTCAAGGTATGAGATTCACTCCCATGAATCCTTGGGTTACAAATGGAATGGACAGTCTCCATTACATTCATAACTTGGGGACTACCTGTAATGCAACTGGTTTTGCCCAGGATTAATCAGTTCCTAGAAATAATGTTGCATCATTGATGGTGCATGCTTTTTTTACAATGTGAAAAAGTTAAAGGATTTTCTCCTAACTAGTGAAAATAAAATCTCTAAAATGTTCCGGGTTACAAAGAGTGCTGGTTTCACAAAACAAATTGTTGACATAGAAAATTCAAAATTCAAAAATATTGTTCTAAACCTCATTAAAATAAGTCAGTCATCTGCCTGTTTCATTTTTTTCCTGCATATCTGAGAGGTAGTTATAGCGTTCTGACCCAGCCTTAGCAGAAGCAAGAAACAGATTCCTTGTCATGAAAAACCCCTCTGTATTTACCTCTTGTGAATTAATTGCATTCACCCACTGAAAATTCCAGGCAAGAGTCCTTCAAGGAGTAAACAGCAGCAACAGACCTTAACAGTACCTTGTGATAGTTGCAAGGCTGTGAGCTCCCAGCCGAAAGGCTGCAAATTAAGTTGTGGCACGAAACACAATGAGCAAAATCTTCAGAAATACGAACTGTTGTCTCCTACAACAACCACTCCCCTTTCCTTTTATTTATTCCCCAGCCAGGGAGGGACCATTCAGTGTCCAAGTGTGCTTTACTTCCCGAGTTGACCCCTTGTCCTCCGTTGTTCACCTCCCCTAACAGCTCTGCACATACCTGCATCTGGAACAGGCACCAGCCATTCGCCTTCCTCATATCAGCCTCCAAAGGCAGTTGCCTCTCCAGTGGCTGGGAAATGTCAGATGGGCCTGGCTCTATCTCTGCTTCTGATGCAGAGCATCCATCAGAACCTTCCCCAGACTCCAGAACTGGCCGAAGTTCCTCCTCAACCTCCTCACTGTCTGAGTCTGCTGCCAGCTCTGCTGGCAGCTGGCGGGCCACAACAGATAGAATCAGGAAGCCAATAATAAAACCGTAGACATTGCCAAGATCCATTGTAGGAAAAATCAGGGTTTTTTTTAACCTTATACAAAAAGTTTAAAAATTACTTCAAAAAAGTTAACAAGGGTCTTCCGTTTTGCCTCTCAATAAAGGAACTAATAGCTGTGTTTTATTAGGGTTCAAAAGACAATTTTAGTCTTTTCAGGCTATATGTCAGTTCAGAAATTCAGCTGAGAATCTGACAATGCAATGTTCTAACATGTACTATTTTTTAAGGGTATTATGAAGATGTTCACAATAGAACACGGCTTTTGGATCGACTTCAAGAGGGAACCGAATCAACCCTGGAAGTCGTCTGATGGAGAAAATGCCACGTGAGTCTTCCTCTTTCCCTTTCAGCTGGCAGGAGCTGAAAGTAAAATGCCTCCACTGAGGCATTCTGTAATTCTGTAAAAACAATGGAAATATGGAACAAATAGGAAAGATACAGCAATAGATTTCCCATCATCCTGCAGTTCTACCATATTAGTTCAATTTGCCCTGGGTCATAATAGCCATATTGTCAGCTCTCCAGTAACATTTTCCCACCAAACGTTTCCTTAAATGATGCCTCTACCCATTCAGGGTTAAGCCAAGGCAATTATGGGAATTAGTTACATTGATTCTGTAGGAATTTGGTGTATTTTCAGCACATTAGGGTAGGCAGGCAAAGTGCCAGGTTGGTACATTTGTTAAATGAAGTAAGAGTTAACAAAATAATTTTGTAGGCCACTCAGAATTGCCTGTGTGTGAGTTGGTCAGCTATACAAATTTGTTTAAGAAATACAATCAGAATTGAGGAAGGGTCTTGGATGAGAAGTGAAATGTCTTCAAGGAAGAAATGGAGGACAGTCCAGTTGCCTTTGAAAAAGCATCTTTGGGGCAGCCATGACCTTCATGTCTAAGGTGACCAGACGTCTCGATTTTGGCGGGACAGTCACGATTTCTCT